TAGATACACGGATAGAGGCCGCTGAAACGCGAATGGTCCGCTGCAAACCCAAAATCAAAATCAAAATTTACAAAGACTTCCTCCTCTTAATCCTTATCCGGGACCTACTTAGCCTGTGCCACACTGGTCAGGAAGAAGAAAAGGGAAGAAGGTACCGAATACAGGCAGTTGATCAGTTCCGCGCTCCGGTATAGCGGCACTGACCGTCCGCGGTCGCTCGCGCGTGCCTTTCGACTGGACCCAACATTTGGAAAAATCGCCAAATGTACCCCTATTTGGCAAACTACAACTTTTTCAAGAACCACTTCAGAAAACGAAGACAGATTCTGTATGCACCACAGTGACCGTAGTTTCCGAAATGTACTGAGCCTTTTTTCAAATGTGTTTCAACTCGCGAAGTGGAGACGTCGAGGACGTTGGGATTTACGTGCGAGTTTTCTTTCTTTGGGAGACCATAAGTTTTTTAGTTCAATCGCTCGAAAATCTGAGAAATCACTGTAAAGAAGAATGATTCTTTCTGATAGGTGCTGCAGTTGTTTCGAAAGTTCTCTGGTTCGCGAGAAATCTGCGTCGAGTATCTATCGAGGACGGCTTCCGAGACAATCGAAAACCCTATTCGTCCTTCGCTGATGCAAGGAACTCTTTCAAAACCCTATAACTGCTTCTAGGATACATCATCTCGATGGCCTAAATAGGAAATGATACACTTGGTGCAGATCCATTCCGTTCTGGTATGCGCCATGCAATGAACCCACATGGAGTCAGTTGAAAGGTGCTTTCTACACGACAGCTTGCTTGTGCAAACCAAAGGTGTTTCTAGTCTTGATCAATTAGAAAGACTCCCATGGTCGTACAGTCAAGTCTGATCACTCCTCCATATACGTCGCTTATGGACGCAGGAAGAAACCTTGCAGCGACGTAGACGGATCGCGCATAGCTACTACTGCTTCTCATGGTCAACCTGTTTCCATACTTTGCGCCGTTGCGGCGACGTTGCGCAAACTGGAGCGCTGCGAAAGGCGCCAACACCACTGGCGCATGTTGCGTACGTGGCGCACAGCGGGTGCTTCTCAATCGATAGATTCTTTCAACACGTTCCGTATGTTTTTTGGTATCATTAGTCGGTGTTGTTTTCGCTTGTTTGTCTAGTGCAAAAGTTTTCGAAATTTGCACGTAACTGTACGGATGCATTCGTTAAGAGACTAAGAAGCAGTAATTCATATCAAAAAGAAAGTTTGCGCTAGAAAAACACGACGAAAAGCAAAGTTTTGAAAAATATACGGAATGGATTGAGTTGGAAATTAATCGATCGAAAGGCATAGACTGTGCCAAATATGCGTCATACTGTGCATGCGGACAGTGCTATCTGGTGATGCGACAGTACCCCTCGCAGTTCGCTACTGCATTCCACCCGTCTGCAACACTGTATGAAACAACAGTTTATGGACTAAAGCTTACTCAGGCAGAAATTGGCGAACGATGCTCTGGCTGTTTGGAGACTGTTAGGAGATCGCAGTTGTAGCGTTCCTGAGCACGAATCACCGAAAGGAGCGCGTAGACTTCGGAAGCTAGCTGGGGGGGCGTATGCTTGCTTCCCTAAGGCTAGATGAGCAAGTTTCTTCAATTTATTTGCTTTGAATAATGTCGCTTCTTCATTTTCGATGTATGTTTACTTTAACCTACATACATACATTTAATGTAGGCCTTTTATCAGGGTAATCCCAGTTGGGAAGACAGAGAAAATTTGAAGGAATTTTCGTCCCCTAACCCCGTCGGGAAGATACCCTGCTATATATATGTTACGAACCCCTGCTGCAGCTGCAAATTTTTTCATCTATCTTTCTGTTGTCTTTCGCTCTCTCATCTGTTGCGCTCTCTCGCTTCGTACTTTCCTCTCCGCGCTTGGTCTCCTCACTCGCCGTTAGACAAGCGGATTAATAAAGCTGGAGAGACCCAACTTAGTATTTGCGACGGATTCTCCTTTTTTCCTTACTGCTGCCCGTTTCGTACCTATACATTCGCATTCGTTTGCAAGAACCACAGCAATGTGATCCTGGGGCGCGCCTTGAAAGTTCCTGCAGGTATACCATCCACCTGCTTTTGCAGCGACGTTCTTGAAATACAAAATAGGTCATCCCAACACAAATTGGATTCAACGACTACTGCTCATGATGGCGGGCATTTGTGGACTAGGTTGCGTACGTAATTGTGTTGAGTAATTATTATAGCAGATGAGTGGACATTTTTTGAGAAATCGGAAAACCCTAAGGTACCTATATATCGCCGATGAACTGCGTCCATGTGTGTTTGTATTTGTTGAGTTATAACATCGATGTCCACTTTATGAGCGGAAGCATTGTTCGTAGGCTGAGAGGAGTGTTTCTGAAAAAACACAAATGTTCGAAAAATATTTGTCTTTTGACATTTGGGACAAAATCTGCCATTCATGAAGAGGAATGGTTCTTGGCTCGCGAAAGAGACGTCTTCATTGGTCTGTATGGGATGATTAGGCACAGTGTAGCTCAAATTTTTCCACCTCGTAAATGGATTCTCCACAAATCGAGTGGAAGACCTTTGGCATTACTACTTGGGCCCTTCGAAGAACGATATATTTGCTTCAATAATGAAATATATGTTTCGCCCAGTTCCAAATAAATCTAACTTTGTTGAAACTAATGAGGTTTGAAAAACCCTATTGTTCATTACATCCAAGGCCTCAAAGGCCACTTGTGGAAATTAGACGTACCCACTGAGCACTGAAATGGCAGTGCTGGTAGATCCACTTCTCATAGAAGGAGAACGGCGATTGAATTCTTGCTCGTATGTAGGCAACGAATGAGTTTCGTCTTCCCTGAGAGCCGATTCTGTGGATTGCCGAGGACTGGTGATTATTTGAGAATTCCTGACCGACGCGTAAAGCGGAGGTGGTTCTTCGCGTTTGAACAGTTGATCGTAACGAGGTGGTGGATCAGTGAAGCCATAATTGGTCACACCTCCACCATCTGGAAAATCATGCTTACAGACGACTCTCCAACAAAGCGAATGAGGAACTGACCAGCAGCGAAGTTGAAACCATGATTGAGTTCGGCCTCCACGGTGACCGTTCTGGTTTGCGTACGTCTGTGTCGCTCGTCCTGTTGGCGCCTCAAAAAGAAATGTCTCAAGCTGTGTAGCCACTTTTTGCAACTTACTACTCAACTATTCAAATCGCAATGAGACATAGATTCATTTTTTGTAGAAGTCCTTTTCATCACTCATATTACTATTGCGCCATACCGTTTTATGGTAAACGCGGTCACACTAGTAAGCAGAGGAAAGGGGGACACTACTTGCCCCAGTGTCAAAAACATTGGATCGCGCTGGGATCGCTGCCTCAAAAAAAGCACTATTTTCGAAAATGGAGAACATGACACGACAAGGTCATTCGCTAGTCTTGGGTGAAGTCACACTAGAAAGATACTGAGGAATTAATGCTCTTTTTGACCCTACCAGTGATAATCGTGCATAAAGAAATCTTCCATAGCGTCTAAAAAGCTTAAAAGCACACTCCACAAATAG